GGTTAATAGAGACACACTGACTGGACACTCCAGTACATTAACACTGCACTGAGAGAGAGAGAGAGGGGGGTTAATAGAGACACACTGACTGGACACTCCAGTACATTAACACTGCACTGAGAGAGAGAGGGGTTAATACAATAAAGACACTAACAAGTGTAACACTAAATTATACTGAAACTGTATGCACTAATCCAGACAGAGAGAGAGAGAGAAAGTGGATTTTTGAATTAAACTGGGCTAGGTTCCAAATTTACTCTGAAAAGCTGAAGTGATCCTAATTTGCCTAATTAAAAGCTCTGATGGTCACGGGAGAGGAAACGATTCTTTTGATTGTGCCTTGTGTTACATCTCCAGCATCTGATCTTTGTCAATTCCGACAGTCAGATGAGAACACGAGGGGGAAGGAAATCAGTGCTGCACAGTCCGCTATTCCAAACCAGTCAATACTCATGGCTTGGGAATGAGCAGCTCCATCCCAGCACCTTCAAAATGAACACAAAGTATTTACAAAAGGCACTGGATTAGACTGAACTGATTAATATACTGTACCGAACACCACACTGGGGACAGAAAGGTGTACTGTGCTGAACACCACACTGCGGACAGACGGTTGTACTGTGCTGAACACCACACTGTCAGTATCATTCTGTACTAAAGATACAGAATAACACAGATAATAAAGATACTGCAGTAAACACAGGCCCTGATACCCTCAGACACAACCAGGACTGCCAGCTTTGCAGAAGGCACACAGAACCTAAAGAGTTTTCACAATTTCAGTTTGCTGAAACACCCTCTGAACTCCAGGACAGGAAATGGAGCGTGGGGACTTGCACAGAGAGATGCACAGCATCGTCTTTGCAATGCAGCTGAGAGATCTAACAGGTCACAGTATAAACACACGTCCTTGGATGGATTTCCAGCGTCAGCCATAGTTTTAACATCACAAAACTGCAGCATGAATGTCATTTCAACTGAGGCACTTCAACTGAACTCAGGAAAAACCTGAGCAATCACAGCACCACAGCGGGGGCTCTGTTCTAGCGCTTGCTTTTCTCTCTGTAAAACTGCGAGAGCTCACATTCGTCACTGCAAGCTCTACTTTGCCCTGCATCGATCCCAACCTCTAAAACACCCATGGGGTTTGAATCCAGAGGTACACATCCCAGCCTCCATCCCAGGAAGAGCCCTCCTGCACAGGTGAGCTCAGCAAGGATCACTGCGGACAGCTGCAGGAACACAGGTGCCGACGGGAGAGAAAATCACGACAGCTCACGCATGCCACTGCAATCAAGGATCTTCCCACAGGAACAGGGAAATGACCGCCTGCCCCTTTAAGGGACTAAAGAAGGGGGACCTCCTTGGTCCAGCCCTTCCCCCCCACCAACTTCCTAATTGGCAGAGCCCCTGTATCCCTCCGTCACTCCATTGGTCGTTGGTATCCAAGGGCCGGACAGGGAAGCCTCTATAAATAAACCTTGCTTGTGCTGTCTCAGCAAGCCCTTCCCACAATGCTCTGCTCCCAGTGCCTGCTGCTGCTCACAGCTGACTAAACACAGCTGCCTGCCGTCACTCACAGCGTCGCCATGGCAACAGCCGGGGCTCCACCCGGCCGTGGAGGTGGGATGGGGGGGGGGGGGGGGGGGGTGTCAGGACTGACAGCTGAGGGGCAAAGACACCCCCCTCCCCCCACCTCTCCCAAGGCCCTCCGCCGGCTCCTCTCCATTCCCTGTTAGGGTAAAACAAGCAAGAGCTCAGGCCACAGCTGGTCACACTTCCTGCATTCTAGCTGGAGGGACGCACAATGCAGGCGGTTGGTGTCCATTTATGAGCTTCAGGGCCCAGCCAGCTCCGGCATGCGGCTGGAGTCAGGCTGCTGCAGGTCCCGTCACGAACTCGCGCCATCGCGGCTCGCCGCGAGACCGAACTGCTGGCCAGCAGACGCATCATCACACCGGCACACGAGAACATTGCTCCACAGCTTCACAGAGACAAAAACAAGAAGACGCCACTAGGGCTGCAGCCTGTGCCCCACTGAAACAATTCCCCCACATGACTTCTTTCAGAAAGCGGAGCAAAATAAAACCTCAGTTACCTGAGCTTTTGGAAGCCGCTATATGCATGACGACTCCCCTGGCTCATGAACATCCACAGCTGCTGCAGTGTGCCGGGGCCGAGTCTCACAGAGCGGGACTCTTCAATACAGAGTGTTGTCACCAGCACAAGCAGCTCTTTCCTCACTCCGAGGAAACAGCATGGACACCTACTGCAGCAGGCCCAAACACTGCCTCCTGAATTCACTGGGAGCCTACAGCAGTACTCTGAACATCGGGGTTCAGTAAACTTCACAGAGGTTCTGGGGAGGGTCGGGTTTAAGAAAGAATACATATCACTTAACACCGAACTTTAATTTAAAAATCCGGGAGGTAATGTGTTACCGAGGTAATGTTGCTTTATACAGCAACAACGCAGACGGCTTGAACTGACGACTTTGTGAATCCGACCTCTATTTGTCACGTTAGAAACTGAAGCTCTGACGCAGTTAGCAAGGGGCAGTGGATCATGGTCTCAACAGCTCTCCCCATCACGGCTTAGGAACACGGCGACGAGAAATGAACTTCAGCTCTCACACGGCAAACAGGGGTCAGTGTAATTATCCCAAATGTACCGAGAACCGATCGGAATTGCACCATCACACGCATCGCTGGGATCCGAATATTACTTTGGAATATTACGGATGTTCATTCACGGGAACGCCTCACTTCCGCGTGCCTGCCCCTTGATATCTCCGCAGACGCTACATCCCGATGTCCCAGATTACTGCAGGCGGCCAGTCACTCCAGACACTGCCCGTGAGGAATCGGAGCAACGGGAGTATCGGATACTGCTAGTGTGGACAGCACTCTCCTCAGGGAACACCAAGGCCACTCCGTGCCACAAGCAAGCAGAATTCAGGGCCCGGGGCCGAAGGAGAAACACAGCTGCAGGGCTCGACGAAGCGGGGGGGCCGTCACAGACCCCGGGGCCGGAGAGTCTGGGTCACAGGAGGGCAGGAGCCTCTCCGGGGTGGGACGGGTAAGTGATGGACACAGCTGGGCCGCCCCCCCCCGAGGCCGAACGTGTGCCGCGGCCCTGGAGAGCCTGATCCCCGTTTGCATTCCAGCCCAGGTCGGAATTCCTGAGCCGGACCAGTCGGGGGACCTTTAACTCCTGCAAGCCCGGGAGTGAAGAACCGGCGCCGGAGCACCTGGAGGTCCGGAGGCTCGCTGGACTGAACCCCTGCAGCCCGAGATCACCCGCACCAGGGTTAGCAAGAGGACCCCCACTCAGCGCCCGGGCACTGCTGCAGCCAGGCCTGGGGAGACCCGTTCAGAACAACACCCCCAGTGTAAAAGAGGGAGGCTCTCTCTCAACCTCTGAACTGGGGCAGCTCTTCTGACCTGTGGACACCCCAGAACACTTCAACTGGTCAGCAGAGGGGAAATGGCACTGGTGTCAGGCGCTGCCCGCTGTGGTGAAACAGCAATAAAGAGCCTCTGAAGAGCCCACAAGCCCCTTCTGTGTAAACTACACTTTAATGACAAGTGAATTTAACTAAGGAGAAGGTGAACAGAAGAGGACTCCCCCACTTTTTATTCTGAGCCCATCAGCACTTTTCCAATTCTCTACGCCCAAGAGGTCACTGCTGGGCGCCACAAGGCTGTCTGTGTCAGGCCCTGCCAGCGGTCAGTGGTCTCCTTCCATCCCACAAGCGCCCTTCCTTCCCGCTCAGGCCAGGATCAGAGATTTGCTGGTTTGATGGATCCGGGCCGGTCAGAGCCACGAGGAGACGGGTGCGGAGCCACCGGCCCTGATCAGAACCGTCGGCAAAGCTGGGCCTGGGAATACCCGCACAAGAGAGATCCTGGCAGGGGCGAGGGCGGACCAGGAGGTGGCGCTCTGCCCTCAATATTCGCACTGCAGTGCCCCAGGGTGCTGGCGAGTGGGAGCACCGTGCTGCAGGACTGGCAATCCTTCAGAACGGAGATGATTTCTTGGGCCTGAAAGATCCCCGAAGTCCTGGCTAAATTCCTCTCTGGAGTGGCACAACTGGGAGTCGGTCTCCCGGTTAATTTCACGCTGAATCACACAGGCGAAGCAACTGCTCACTCTGGCTGGAGCAGGAGAGCTGGCCCTCATCACTGCAGTGGGCAAGCTCCCTCCTTTAGGCCAAAGGCTTGGGGATCCTTTGGGATGAAAGGCAGGATATAACTGCAAGGTATTAAGTCAAGGTTTTTTCTTTAAATCCTCTTAAAG